TGCAGGGTCCAGGAGCCCGGTGAGTTAATCCCTTCCGTTCTGACTGCAGAGATCCAGGCCCCGAAGGAGCAGGATCTGGGACAAATTTGGGGGGGGGGTCTGGGAAAATACCTGAGCCGTGAGCAGGCAGACCCCTTAGGGGATCGCAGTGTTCCTTTGGAAGGAAGCGAGGGGAGTGGGAGAGGAGCACCAGGATGGGGAGCGGTCCTGCCTCACACAGCTCTGAGGTTCCCGCTAGAGCTGGGCCTCCTCAAGAAGCAGCTGTTTTACTGCCCTTAAAAGTCAGTGTCTGGGCTGCTCTGACCAGAAAGCCAACAGGGTCCCTTGCACGGGGTGGGCCTTGTTATCTTACTCCCCATATTTAAGCAAGGCTTCCCTAAACCTTAGCCGGGTCCTGAGAGCTCTGAGGGAACCCAAACCCCCTTTCTCATAAGGTCTCAGATTTGAGAACCTGAGAAGCAGCTTGGGGTCTGTGGGGCTTCCCCCCCCTCGGCGCCACTGCTGTTCCTGGCAGACCGTCTCCAGCTCCGGCTGTCCCTCCGAGTCCCCTGCGGAGCCAGCTCCCAGTCTTGACTCTTCTGGTCGAACAAGCACTCATTTGTGTTGCGCCGGCTTTCAGACACACTCAGAGGCGGTGAGTCATGCCGGCAGCTGGCGCAGTGTGACTGGAACAGCCCTGGTCCCCTCTCGGCCAGCTCCCCTGGGGCCGCGGGGGCACGGGCTCCCGGAGTGTGGCACCCCCGCCCCTTCGGCCCCTGCAGGCTCGGTGATATTCCTCCACCAAATGTAGGAGAGAGACACAGGCCCTGGCAGCTGGCTCTGCCACCAGCTCTGAGAAGCTGGTCCTACAACAGAACCTTGTGTCCTTGGGGAGGGAACTGAGACATGGAGAGGAAAGAACTAGAAGGCTGTGTCTCGCTAGTTGAATGAAGGGAACACATGCTACACATCTCGTTTCCCATCTCGTAGCTCCCAGTAGGAGAACCTGGGCCACCTGGACCCGGGAGGAGCCTCCCCTGTGGGAGCTGCAGCTGAGATGACCCTCGTAGTGAGAGCATGGGCGTGATTTATTGGGAACTGCTTGGTGCTTGGGCTTGGCCTGCAGCTCTGGCTCACGCAGCGCCAGGCTGTCTCCAGCACCGTCATCTCTGCCCTCGGACACCGCTGGTCTTCTCTCCAGCTGCGTGTCTTACCCGCCCTTCCACCTCTGTCTCTCACCGGTGGGGCCAGGACTCCCCTTGTATCCAAGTTATTTGGGGCCATGTGCCTGGGCCTTGCACCAGATGCAAAGGCTGGGCATTAAGTGGGGAAGGGGACTTGGTGTCTTAGCCACCTTGCTTTTAGGACCTAGTGTGACAGGGGATCTCTCCTCCACCACCACCACCCCGCCTGCCTCCCCTGAGCACCTTCCTCTCGGGGCCTCACGGTGTCGCTGTCACTGTGATGGTGACGTTTACTGGAGTATCCATGGATTCCTGAGGAGGACCCGAACCCGGGGTGATAGGTGGTGTTTCAGTGTCTGAAGAATAGACATGAANCTGAGGAGGACCCGAACCCGGGGTGATGGGTGGTGTTTCAGTGCCTGAAGAATAGACATGACCACAGGAGAGGTGCCTCAGGGGTGTCCCAGGTTGTCCTTAGAGGACAAGAGACCAAGTGTCACGCGTGAAACTCAGGGCTGCCCTGCTTACAGTCACCTTTGGGGTAAACTGGCGCTTACCTGCCTGTGCCCCTGGGCCTTCCGCTGAGCCCCTGGGTGGGTGACTCTGCTCCCTGAAGGTGAAGTGGGTGAGTGAGGTTAATGACATCCACACCTTCCCAACCTTCCTTCCCGGTGAGAGGAAAATCCTGACCCTGGAATGCCAGGTCCCCCACTCACATGGGAACAAGCAGCTGACGAAGGCCTGTAGACAGAAAGGGAAACGGCATTTGAGCCACCAGCCCTCCCTTGCCCACAGGCTCCACGCTAGAGCCCAGGATCCCAGAGGGGAAGCCCTGGTGCCTGAGGTCAGGGTTGGACACACTGAGGAGATGTCACACATCGGAGAGCCCAGATTTCCTGCCCCCCCCGGGGGTGGGGGGGTGTCCTGCAGCTCCCTGAGGTAGGTGGAGACCTGGCCACCTTCTAGGGTCAAGAACCCACCCCCTTCAGTTCCCACTCACAGGGGAAAGTCTCGGGGTGCCGGGCAGCGTACTGAAACACCAGCAACGAGGCCACCGTTGCCACCACCATTCCTGTGCCTGCTGCACCCAGCACGGCTGGGTAGGCGCTGAAGGGGGGGTCCGCTGGGAGGGGAGAGCACCGGTTGCCGGGGACAGGTTTAGAGCCAGGCCTGAACTTGGCAGCAATGGCTTATAGGGTACTGAGCAGGCAATGCCCTGCTCAGCCAGGGCCCCCTGCACCTGAGGTGGGTGACCAGGGGCAAGGCTGGGCCCAGAGCACCTGGAGACCGGGTCTCTCCCATGGAAAGAGGTGCTCTGTGTGCCTGGTGCTTTTGAGGTTGGAGGCCCCCGCCAAGCCCCCTGTGTTTTGCACAGAAGGCAGCGGGCCAGTTATCCTGGCAGCTCACCATGTAGTGAGGAATTCCCAGGTTGGAGAGGGCAGCGGAAGCCGAGCCCACGTGTGTGCCCCAGGAGAGGAGACTGAGGCACAGAGAGGGGCCCTGTCCTTAGCTAATCTCCCCTTTCCCTACTTCTGATTCAAGCTGAACTATGGCTCCCCCCCTCGGTGGGGCTCCGGGCCTCCCGGGAGGGATGGGAGAGACAACTGGAGGAAGCACCTGGGGGAAGGTGGGGGAGAGGAGACGTGGGGATGGAGGAATCCAGCAGGAGGAGGCTGAACCATGGCTCAGCTTTGTGGGGCCCGCCCAGCACCTGGTATCCTGCCCTCCGAGGGATGTCCAGCTGTGCGGTGGTTCAGAGCCAGGATGCGGAAGGCGTAGAGCACCCCCGGGTCCAAGCCCCCCAGCCGCCGGGTTCTGCTCTCGGGCTCAATGTCACCGGCTGCTGTCTCCCAAGCTCCGGCTCCTGGGCCCTGAGCCCCGGCCCTCCGCTGCACCAGGAAGCCCGTCAGGTTCCCTGGGCCTGCAATGGCCCATTGAAGCTGCACCTCTCTCCGCTGTCTCCCATAGGTCAGGCGGCTGATGGTGACATTGGGAGGAGCTGGATACCCTGGAGGTGAGGGTGGGAACGCATGCAGACACGTGCACGCCCACAACTGTGTGTGCGCACGTGTGCTGTGTGCCCAAGTTTGTTCCAGTTTTTCTGGGAGCCTGAAAAGGCCCTGGACTGGGATGTGTAAACTTGATCAGTTCTGCGTGGTTTGGGTCGGTGTTACCCTAGACTTCCATTTCTAGGCCTCAGTTTCCTCATCTATGAACCAAGGCAAAGGAGCTCATGCCGCCTGCATGGGGCTCTGTTGGCCTGTATTCTAGACTGCGCATGATTCATGTTCAATGGCCATCTAGGTTCGTGTTTGTGAGGCCTGTCTGTGCCTGAGGGAGCCGACCCATCCAAATCCCAAAGGAGGAATTCCAGTGCCTTCCACCTGCAGGGCATATGGGGCTGGAGGGTGTCCATCCTCCTCGCCACACAAATGCACCCCCCACACTCACTCAGCACCTCCAGCAGGACGCTGCGACTGCTGTTGCCCAGGGCGTTGCGAGCCACACACTGGTAGGTGCCCCTGTGGAGAGCCGGGTCTGCAGCTTGGATGCTAAGATGGAGCTGGGCGCCCTCGGGGTGCAGCATGAATCCAGAAGTGCCTGCTTCCAATGGCTGTCGCTGGGGTCCCAGCCAGAGGAGGTGGGCAGGCGGTGTGCCCCCCAGGAGGGCACACCCCAGCCAGGCCTCTTCTCCCTCCAGCACGGACACCTGGAGCTTAGTCACTGCCAGCTGTGGGGCTTCTACAAGGACAGAGAGAGTAAGACGAGAGATGTCCTCTGGGCCCCGGGCTGGTGGGAAGGCTTGGGGGTAAGGTGCTGGCCAGGGATGGAGGGGAGGGGGGAGAGAGGAGACGGGGCTGTGGAGTTGACAGCGAAGCTTGTCTTGGGCCTGCCTGCCTCCTCTGTCAGGCTTCCATTCTATGCCTGATTCCTACCACATCTGGGCCAAGTTTGGAGATGACAGTGGTGTTGCTCCGTGCTCCTCTGCACCCAGCCCCAGGCTCCCCCTGCAGGCGGGGCCCCGCCTCCTCCCTCTCAGTCCCCACCACGTGCTCGGTTTTATGGGCTGATTCCTGAAGACCCAGAGGTCCGGGTATCAGTGGGCCCCTGATAGAATTTCCAGCCCTGAGTAATAGGGAGGGAAATATTTCAGGTCAAGGAATTTCTTAGAGCTCCTGAAAACAGGCTGGTCACCAAGCCTTACAGACTGAGATGGAACTCATTTTGTGAGAATTGTTATATATAACGGCTCCTCTACTTGATTTTCTCACATTTTTTACTTCAATGTTTAATAACTTTTTCTTGAGTTAATAAATGGGACTGGCAGAGCCAGGAGACAAAGAAAGGAGCCTGACCAAAGGCAACTAGAGCGAGTGAGAGAGGTAAAGACCTCTGACACCTGAAACATTAATTCGAGTCAGGAATTCGATCAGGCATCTCTCCTGCAAATTGATGGAAATGAGGCAGGCAGGACCCCTCACTGGCTAGATGGGTGCTGCCCAGCCACGTGTGACTACTAAGCACTTGGAATGCGGCCAGTCACCCCTGAGATGTGCGGTAACTGTAAATACACCGGATTTTGAACACAGTCGAAAAAAATGTAAAATATCTCATTAAAAATTTTCTATTGCACATGAAGTGATCATATATTGGATATATTGAGTTGAATGAAACATTTCGCTTATTTCTTTTTGCTTTTTTAAATGTGGCTACTAGAAAATTTAAAATTATATGTATAGACTGGCCGGCGTGGTTCAGTGGTTGAGCCAGGAGATCGCGGTTCGATTCCCAGTCAGGGCACCTGCCTGGGTTGTGGGCTCGATCCCCAGTAGGGGGCGTGCAGGAGGCAGCCGATCAATGACTCTCATCACTGATGTTTCTATGTCTCTCCCTCTCCCTTCCTCTCTCTGAAATCAATAAAGACATTTAAAAAATTATATGTATGGCTCACATTATATTTTTATTGGACCACACAGACCTAGACTAAACCCCCGATTTTATGGGTCAAAAAAACTTGAGTCCCTGGGAGGTGAGGTGACCAGCCTCTTCGCTCACTCTACATTTCAGCACAGCTGTCCCCCAGAGCCCCTCATCCCGATTTTAAAGGGCTGCTCCTCCCTTCAGTCCCAGAACCCAGTCACTAGCCCCCACTCACCCAGCTGAAGCCGGCAGTGGGGATCGGGGGCCCTGAGGGGGTGAGTGCCCTGGCAGGTGAACTCTCTGCCAGCCAGGTCGCCCCGGGCCTGCAGGAGGTGGATGGCCAGCGAGGAGCTGCGGCCGCCCAGAGGCTGCTGCTGTCCATCCAGCCAGCTCAGCAGGGCAGGGGGCTCGCCTCCAGCCCACTCACAGCTCAGCATGATGAACTGGTCTCCAGCTGTGGCCATGGTCCAGCACGAGGGGCTCCGGAGGGGTTCCCCTGAGGAGGGAATAAATGGCTCAGCATGACCCTCCAGGGGGAAGAGGGACCCAGCAGGCCTAGCCCATCCCCCCCTCCTTCACTTATTGCTTCACTCTCCCATTACCCCGTTTACTCAGTCAACTCATTTATGTTTTTATGCATCATTTATTGAAGGCTGACCATGTGCCAGAGAAATAGTAGGGAACAAACACTAGCAAACAGTTACAATACAGTTTGACGAATGCTGGAGTATAAGTAGGAAGACAGCTATCGGGGTGCAGGGAGAATGTTTGAAAACAAGATGACGTTTGAACTTGGTCTTGGTACATGGATAGGAGCTTCCCATGCGGAGAGAGTTACAGGCACAGTTCGAGACCAACATGCAATAGAGCAGGAGAGGGAGAGCACAGGAGGGTGAGAGCCTGCTGCCCCTGGAGGCTGGGGGCAGTTAGGAGAGTGTCAGGGTCCCCAAGCCTGAACCAAGGACAGGCCACCATGTAGATGGAGACCAGACTGGGTGGGAAGAAGCTGGGATGTAGGGTCTGGGCTGAGTGCCGCCACCTCTTTGTTACATGGCAAGTCTCAGAGTCTGTGGTCTGGAGCCCCACCCAGGTCCCAGGGGCCCCCTGTCCTCTCCCCTGACCCCTAAATGTCAGAGCCCTATCTCCCCCGTCCACTCACACACTGTGATCCTGCAGACGGCAGGCAGGGCCAGGGCTGGGTGCTGGCTGGTGCAGGTGAAGACGCTGCTGTTGGGCAGCTGGGTGGCGGCGTGACTCCAGGTGACATTGCTGAGGGCAGTAGGGCCATTTCCCCGGGGCCCTTCCCACTGCAGCTGGGCAGCTGGAAGCCCCCCAGGCCAGGTGCAGACCAGAGTCACAGCCCCGGGCATGGGGAGCACTGCACAGGAGGGCCGCCCCTCGGGGGGATCTGGGGGACAAGTGGGCTCAGGTGGGGCTGGACCAGGCCACACTGCCAATGCACCGACACCTCTGGGGGGCCGAGGTGTCAGTGTGGGGGAGCAGGGAGAAGTGGGTGCGCAGGGACAGGCCACTCCCTCTGGGGGGCTGGTGAGCAGAAGGCTGAGCTCTCAGGCCAAGGAGCGGTGGTGTGGGAGTTGGGCAGGAGGTCAGAATTCACTGGGCAACCCCAGGGGCTTCCACGGAAGCCCCAGCAGGGACGTGTTCCCATGTCCCATTGTCATCTTTGCCTGGTTACTTTGTCTCACTGTCCTTACCCTGCCCTTCTCTGTGCCTCAGCCCAGTCCTGGGGACCCTGGGAACAGCCACTTGGAAGGGGGTGCCCCTCTCCCAGCCCCGTCCCATGGCTCTTTAGCCTCTTTCCCTGCTCTGCAACACCATTTGGTCTCCCGGACCTGCCTGCCCCCTGCTTCTGCCCCATTCCGCACAGGGCGCCTGTATTTCCCAGAGCCCAGGCCCGCGGAGGCTCCGGGGGAGGGCCCCCCCCACACTCACAGTAGACGGTGAGCTGGATGGCAGTCTGTGTGCGGGTGTCCAGGCGGCTGTTGTGGGCCAGGCAGGTATACAGGCCTGTGTGGGTGCGGCTGGCGCTGCCGATGGTGTAGGTGGGCCCGGTGTGGACCTGAGCGTGGTCCCGGAGCCACACATAGTGACTGGGGGGGTTGGATGCAGCCAGGCAGCTCAGAGTCACTTCTTCCTTCTCAGGGGCCCAAAAACCCCCCTCAGTGAAGCCCGGTGGCTCCATGGTGATCACAGGACTGTCTGGACCATCTGGAGGGCAGGGAAAGCCCGTCACACCTCCCCAGTCTTCGTTCCTTCACCCACTGCTGAATTTACAGCTGCGGCAACCACTATGCTTAGGCCTCTGAGGGACCAGAGTGCAGGGGCCCCAGGCGCAGTCCAGTGCAGGGGATCGGGGTCTGCGGAGTGAGCCCCCAGGCTGTGGTGGCCCAGGGGGCTCCTGTGACTCTGAGAGGCTTCCCTGAGGGAGGGGTGGGCTGGGCTGAGGTGGGGGACAGGCGAGAGCTGGGTAGTCAGGAGAGACGCAGGGCGCCCAGCCCCCCCACACTGCCTGGCGTGAGGGGTTCTCGGGACTGGCTCACTTGGTCCCTCTAGACGGGAGGGGGAGGGAACAGGGCGGGAAGGTGCCCTGAGCGCGATCCCAGCAGCCAGCGCTTTCCGCTTCTGTGGGCCACCGCCTTCCCCTCTCCCCCGTGTCTTCTTTCTCCCTGACTCCTGGAGAGGACTCACTTATTTTGCTGCCTCCGTTCTGCTTCTGCATCTTTCCCGAGAACTGTTCACCCGTCTCCTCCACAGCCCTCAACTCACAATTCCCACGAGCCACCTCCTCCAAGACAGACAGGACCCTGTCCGTCCCTGCTCCCTGAACCCTCTAGGCCAGCGCTGTCCAGTAGACATGGGAGCCACAGATTTTAAAATCTCCGGTTAGCCAGGTATTCAAGAGACAAGATCCCCTAACTCCACCAAGCAAAAACATCAACAGGTTTTAATAATTTTAATAATTTTTATTTAACGGAGTACATCCAGAATATTATCATTTCAGTGTATAATTAATATAAGAGTTATTGATGAGCTATTTTATAGTCTTTCTTTGGACGAAGTCTTCAAAATCCACTGTGCATCTTACACTGCAAGCTCATCTCAGTTTGGTTCGGCCACGTCTCGCGTGCTCGAGGCCACGCGTGGCCCCCACTCTGGACAGTGCTGCTCCAAACCACCTAGTCTTCACCTTTCCCACAAACGCTGATTCCTTTCAGAAGTTCATTAGTGCCCTGTGTTCCCCTCTTTCCTGAAATGACTGCCCTGGCCTGTTGTCCGCTTTTGCCTAGCTGGCTACCCCCTCCTCACTGGCTGCTTTGGAGTTCTTTGTATGTTCTGAAAATAATCCTTGTTTGCTCTCAGAAGTTCCTCTTGGGCCAGCTTGTTGCCCTCTCTTCCCACAGCGCCCCCTCCCTGTTTTCTCAGGTTCAGATGGTGCCTGAGAGTCCTTGAGGCTTAACCCAAAGGCAGACTTTCTGGGCCACCCCTTTACTGTGGGTAAAACTGTGACTACGAATCTATGCACATTTTCCCGGGAGGAGGGCCCATGACCTGGACAAGGTTAAGCCCCCGTGTACTGGAGCCCCATTTGGCACCAGTGGGTGCAGTGCCCAAGGTTGGGGCAGCCCTGGGGGCCGAGCTAGGGTGGGTGGGTGGCTGCCAGCCCTGACTCCCTTCCCCCACACCTGTGTGACTCACAGATGACGTCCAGGAAGGCTCCGTCACTGCTCAGCTGGTTGACTGCGTTGTGTGCACTGCACACGTACCAGCCCAGGTGTGTCCGATTGACAGGGTCCAGCTGGAGCTGTTGCTCTGTGACCCCCACCAGGGCCTCCTCGGGGCCTCGGGGTGCCTGATGCTTCCAGGCAAAGCTCATGGGCTCTGTGCCCTCCCGCACTGCGCACGTGGCCACCACAGATGTCCCCTCCACTGGGGACGGCTTGCTCAGCCGCACTTGAGGCTTTGATACAGGCACTGGCCAGAAAAAGAAGAGGCTCTGTGTTTGTCATCGCAGAACCAGGCTGTGACCAGCTGTGTCAGTGACCCACCCCTTGCTAGCTGGGGGCTGGCCTGCCCACTGGGTTCCCGAGCTCCCCAGGCTTCCTTGTCCCGTGGCCACAGGCCTTGCAGAACCCGGGCGCTCAGGACACAGCCCACGCTGGCAGCACATGCGAAGGGTGCAAAGCAGCACTCGCAGTGGCTCAGGCCAAAGCCCCCAGCAAGGCCTCACCGAGCACGGCCAGGCTGAAGTGGGAGTAGGCGGTGTGCAGCCAGCCTCCGGTCGCATGCAGGGCCTGGCACAGGAAGCGGCCGCGGGCACCCTCCCGCAGCTCCCCCAGCACCAGGCTGCTGTTCTGCAGGCTCACGGTCCCCAGGGCCGAGGCCCCGGCGTCCACCTTGAACTCTGCTCCATTGGTGACAGCCACAGGCCGGGGAATCAGCGAGCCCAGGGGGGTGAAGCTCCAGAAGACCACCAGGGGGGCAGGTGGGGAGCCACAGGCCAGCTCCACGGAGCCACCCCTCACTCCCTGGATGGATGCCACCTCCTCATGGGGCTGCCCTGGGGACAGAGACAAAGCAGGACATCTGAGCTGTACTGGGTTCTCCTGCTTCCCCTCCGTCCTCAGAGCCGCCGTTCCCGCTCTGCAGTCGGGCGGACTGGGCAGGGGTGCGTAAGATAGCAGAAGCCCGGCTGGAGTTGGGGGAGGCAGAGATGGTTTCTGGGGGAGCCTGCAGCCTCCTGCTGGGCTGTGCCATAGGAGCGGCAGGCTGGGGGGTCTTTGACCAAGATCAGGGAATGGACAGGAGCAGAGGTTCCCACCTTCGCGGGCCATTGGACTATCTGGAAAGCTTGATAAAAACACAGATTCCTGGGCTTCATTCCAAACTATAGTCAGAATCTCCAGGGCGTCAGCACCAAGCACTTGTATTTCTAACAAGTGTCCAGAAGTTGATCTGATGATCAGCCTGATGACGCCTCGAGGGTGAGGAGAACGGTGTGGCCACTGGCCATCCAGGCTCCTGGGTGCAAGGACTCCAGGGGGTTCCAGACCCACCAGCAAAGGAAAGACCACACCTGCCTGGGTCGGCCCGCCCAGCATCTATTCACTTGTCAGCTGTTTAAATTATAAAGTGCCTGCCTTGTGCCAGGCACCAGGATCACAATGACAAATGAGCCACCCTATAGTGACTCCCATGGAGCTTTCAGTCTGTCGGAGAGTCCGACATTAGCTAGTCATCACGGGGTAAGGCTGCCGAGGCTGGCACGGAACCCCAGCATCTGCCCGAGCCCCGTGTGTTCTCCTGCCCCTGTGGCCAGGTTTCTCCAAAGTGCTGACAGCCCCAGCAAATGGGGATTAAAGTAAGTGCGTCAGAGGAAACTGAGCCACAGAAAGAAATCACATCAGCCTGCCTTTGCTGAGTGTGAGGCCCTGTCCTGGCCTCTTCCCTCATTACCTGCCGACCTTAATCGTTACAATAACAGCATCCCCTGAGACTCTGAAACACGAAATCGCTTGGTCCAAACCACACAGTAGGTGGCAGAGCTGCATGGAGCCCCGTCTGTCTGACCCCCCGTCTGAGATTCTCCCGGCTGCTATCGCTTTCTCCAGGGAGGAGACCGTCGGAGGGAAGGGATCAAAGGCAAAATTCTTTCCCAAGAAGGGAAAGAACCCAGAAACTGGTTCTTTCCGATCCCACCAGCTGTCGGCGCCCTGACGACCACCTGGCTTGGGGGAAACTTGATGGAACTGATCTGGCCATGTCACTCCTGCCCTCACAGCCGGGCAGAGGCCCTCAGGACACCCCGGCTGCTAAGGTAACGCAGAGCGCTGTGTTCTGGCCCGGCCTCCCCCCCGACGGCCTCGGCTGCTCAGAGCGCGCTGGCTAAGGTCAGGCAGGTCAGCGACGTCGATGGACTTCCCTGAACGGCTATGCGAGTGGGAAAGAGGGATCCTGAGGAAGAAGCAGGAGGAAAGAGTGGGATGGGAGTGGGAACGGCCACTGGGCAGGGTGGGCTGAGAATCGCTCACCTGAGGCCCCCAGATGCAGAAGGCAGAAGGCCGTCAGCAGCAGGAGGCTGGGTGGTCTACGCGGGGCCTGCTGACTCTCCGCCACCCCCATCGCCCGGGGTGGCTGCCCGTCTGAGACAGAGCCTGCCTGAATCTTGGGCTCCGTCTCCACAGAGCAAAGCCCAGCCCTGGGAGGATGGGGTTCTGGCTCAGGTTGCCAACCTCAGCCCTCCCAACACCTTCGCCCCCAGTCTCCCGTTACCCTCACTGCCCTGATTGCAGGTGAATTATTTACCAGATGATTCACTGCATCCATAATGCAGAGGTGGGGAAGGCAAGACCTGGCCGGGCACACACCTAGGGAAGACCCCGAGTTCCCGCGTTTTTATTCTATGACATGATAAAATTAGAGAGTCACTGACATAGAGCTGAAAAAGGCCCAGCCTCGTCGAGTCCAGCCACCTGCCCCATACAGGGCCCCCACAGGGATCCTGAGGTTCAAACCCACCTTTAGGGCCTTTGTCCCCTCTGCTTGCCTTGTGTCTTGTTAGGAGAGGCAAGTGGAGCTGGGAAGGAGCTCTGGAATCAGAAAACTCCAGTTTGGGTTTGACCCGTGAACTGCGAAACATTAGGACATTTCCGAGCCTCTACAAGCTTTCGTTTTTTTCAGAGAAATGGGGATAGTAACATCTTCTTTCTTGTAAAGATTATTGTGAATATTAAATGAAAAGCTTACATTAGCATATGGGGGGGCTTCTTGGGTGCTAGTAATGTCTTATTTCTTGACTGGAGTAGGGGTTACTGTTCATCAAGTTGTACATGCATTTTTTTATATACTTTTAGATATGCTTGATAAAATACACACACACGTGCACAGCACTAGCACGTAGTTGGCACGCCCTCATGCCTGCTCCTATCTGGATTTGACCTACACAGGCTGGACCCGGAGCTGGAGTCCTCCCGACCAGGGCTCTCTGGATCCCAGCTCGCTCTCTCTCTCCCTCTCCCTCTCCATGTCCTGCTTCCCTAGCAGTTTTCGAGTGACAGCTTGAGATGAGGTCAGAGTTTTCCATCCTCTGGCGGCAGGTTGGGAGGGTGAGGATCCTAGACCCCAGTGAGACTAGGGATCTGGTGTCTGGTGTCAGGTTCATCGGGGCTGAGCAGGGACAGGAGACTTCAGAGCTTGGGCCCCTCCTGCGCCCAGAGGTGCTCACTAGGGCACCCTCGGCTTCTCACTTGCCCTAAGACTGTAGCTAGGCATCTGTCCCACTCTCACGCAGCCCTCGGCCAAGGACCCTCCGCGCCCTCCTTAGGATCTTGAGCCCCCATTGGGCTTTAAGCAGAATGGCAGACGGTCACTGGGGCTCAGGCTCTCATGAAGTGGGGCTGACACACGTTTGGCCGACCCTATTGTCCAGGACACACGGCCCCCCCCAACAGAATATCCTCAGAACTCCATGAGATGTTCCTTTGGGAGCAAAGAATGGGGATTAGACGGCTGACTTACCTCTCGGTGGGCAGCAGCCCCGTCTCTAAAGCAAATGTGAGAATCAGGCAGGTGAACTGGGAAAACTTTAAAGGATTCTCTGGCTCCAGCAAGCGTCTGTGCTGGCCCTGGAGTTAGTATAGTCTGCTTGTGGAGTTAGCACCTTCTTACCCAGGAGCACCAGGGTAATAGCGGACTAGGAGGTGCTTCTCAGCCCACTGGGTCTGTCTCCTTAGCAAGGGAGACCTTGGGAGGGAGAGTCGGGGAGGGAGGTGTATTAGAGAGGATTCTCCAGACAAACAGAACTGATAGAATGTGTGTATATATAGAAAAAGACATATGGTAAGAAAGTGCTCACATGGTTATGGGGGCTGGCAGGTTCCCCGATCTACAGTCAGCATGCTGGAAACCAGGGAGGACTGAAGGTATAAGCTCCAGTTAGAAAGCTGGCAAGCTGGACATCCATGAAGAGCTGATATCTCAGTTCTAGTCCAAAGGAAGGAAATACCAAAGTCTCAGCTCAAAGCAATCAGGCCGGAGGAGTTGCCTCATCTTTGGGGGAAGGTTGGCCTTTTTGTTCTATCCAGGCCTTCCACTGATTGGATGAGGCCCACCCACGTTGGGGAGGGCAATCTGCTTTATTGGGTCCACAGATTCAAGTATTAATCTCATTCACAAATACTTTCAAAGACACACCCTGAATCATGTTTAACCAAATATCTGGGCACCGTGGCCTAGTGAAGTTCACCAGTAAGTTAACCATCAGAGAGGTGAATGGACCCCCGATCCTGCAACCTGGCTCTGCCAGGCAGAGCTGCAGCCCCCCCTGAGAAGGAAGAGGGAGCACAACGGGAGTAGGAGAACAGGCCCAAGGCTCCTGTCTCTGCTGCCGTGGGAGCTCGGGGCCAGGAGAGACAAGAGAGTACAGTGGTCAGAACACAGCTTCGTCTCTTTATTACTGTGTGATGTTAGCATGCTACTTATCCCCTCTGAGCTTCCGTTTCTTATATGATTTTTTCTTAAGAAGAATAAATGAGGTTATGCATCTATAGCACCTGCCTATTAAAATTACATGTGCCCCTTGACCTGAAGAATGTCAACAATTCAGCGATCATTTCTTGAGCATCTATTAAGTGCAAGGCACCGTGCTGCGTATGGTAGGGCGCCGAGCTTCCTCCCCTCCCCTCTTTGCCAAGGAGCAGCAGCCAAGCCGGGCCTGGTGCTGCACCCGCTCTGGGCATGCTCAGTGCTCCTCATCTCCCCTCCTGCTCAGGCCCTGTGAGCTCCTTTGTCCACAGCCCACCTGGGTCCCAGGGGCTCACACCAGCACCTGCATTCTCATTTCTTTGCGACAACCTGGAAAGTGGGAGCAACCCTGAGTGGCCTCTCAGCTAAACTCAGGAAAGAGGAATTATAAGGATGGACTTGAACATCCAGAGGTTTGAGGTGACATTTTGGAGAACAAGGCTGAGGGCTCTGAATGGGTCCTTGGAACCTCCCCTGTGGCACAGGAGGCCCCCCTGCAGCCTCCTGGAGAGACCGGCCTCAGCCTTTCCCAGGGACCCGCACTGGCAGGCGTGGCACTAGCCGCACGGCCTGGGCAAGCAGCGTCCCCTCCCTAAGCTACATCGCCCTCGTCTTTAACAACAACCTCGCACGTTAGGGACACAGAGGATGCAACCGCACCTATCAAGCACCCGTAGGCGCCTAGCACATGGTACACGTTCGATAAATGTGTGTTCTTGACCTCTTTCTGTTCAGGTTGAACTGGAACCCGCCTCCCTCACACCCCTACCCTGGGGCCCGAGTTCCCCTGGAGCTTTAAGGATCATCCCCATCCCTCTCCAAATGCAAGTCAGCCCACACGCCAAACAGCAGCCCAGCCCTCTCCCTGCGCCTAAGAAACGAGCTGGCCACTGACTGCGGGCACGTGCTCGGTGAGCCGGGGCTGCCCGAGGGCCCTGCCCCCACGTCTGACATAGGCTCAGACTCTCTGCACTTTCCCGGTAGCCTGACTTCCCATGTCCCAGGTTCCTCCCCACCTCGGTCGCTCTGCAGTTGTCCCCACCCGCCCGAGGTTGTGTTGACTCCAGAGGGCAGGGGCCTGCGGAACTGCTCCGTTCCTTCTCTCTGACGAGAAGGCTCAGTTACCTGCTATGCTAGAGTTTTGTTTGTCCCGCTAGTTGACATTTATTTCCTGGCCACTGGGCACGGTCACTCCGCTGCTTTCCAGGAGGCGGGCGGGAGCCGGCGGCCCGTGGCCTCAGTCTTTGACCAGGGAGAGCTGTGACGGCAGCGATGTCCAGGTTTCTGGGAACCTTCTGCTTGGCGATGGGCAGTTGTGAGTCCCATGTGTCAAACTCGGGGCCAGGTGCCTCCGGTCCGGCCTCCTCCTGCCTTGCGCTCACCTCCCCTTCTCTGAGCCGACCCGCAGGGCCCTCCCTTCGCGCTGTGGGGTTCACCCAGCTCTCCTGCCTGCTGTGACATCTGAGCCGTGGTTCTGGAAGCCCAGGCTTCTGGAGGAGCAGGATGTGAAAGGATGGGAATAGCTGGGCCGGAGCGGAGGAAGCAGATGCTCCTGAAAAACAAATGGCTTTTCCATGTGTGTCCACGTTGCCTTGTTGGAGGCCAAGCGTAGGCCCTTGGGAACCCCAGCAGATGAGCCGAGGGCTGGAGAGGAAACGGCCGAGGCCCAGCAGCCCAGGCGACATGGCTCCTGCTGCTTTTGTGGCTGAGAAGTGGGGGAGGAAGCAAGGGGGCCGAGGGCCTGGCCGGGGTCACTGCTCGGGCACTCCACTCCGCTAACTGCTCCGTGGAGGAAGTGAGTAGATGAGTGAGGTCCTAGATGGAGGGGTGAAGAAAGACTGGGGACCAGGAGAGGAAGGAAGGGGAGAGGAGGAGAGGAGGGGAGGCTGGGAGGCTGGGAGGCTGGGAGGCTGAGGCCAGGTTGTGGCTGTGGAGGCCCCAGGGCAGGAGGCCGGCTTCTGGGCCAGCTCTGCCTGGTAACTGCCCTCCTTCCATCTGCTTTAAGGTTCTGGGAGCCCTTTCACAGCCAGTCCTTCCCCGGCCACCGTGGGCAAGACATGCCATTGGGCCTCCGTTTCCCCATTGGTTAAACATGTGGCTGTAATGCTCCCCGGCCGCTTCTCAGGGTGGTTGTGAGAGCCGGAGGGTGGACAGTCGGAGAGGAGTGAAAATGTACCACTGTGCAAAGAGGGCGGTGAGGGGAGAGTCCACCTGGGGATGGGATCAGCGTTCAGGTCCTGACTCAGTTGCCCAGTAGCTGAGTGACACCAAACAAGTAACTTAACCAACCAAGTATCAGTTTTCCCCCTTAAATTGAGACAAATTGTTTATTGGATAATATTAGAAAACTGTTAATTTTATATGATCACAGTTTTGTGATTATGTAAGACAATGTTTCTATATTTAACCAGATCTTCAGTTCCTCGTGGCTGCGGGGATTTTTTTGGAGCAAAACCTGCTTCCCACCCAAGTTAACACTTCTCAGTTTGTAAAAGCTGAGCTCATTGACAGGTTGTGCTGGGCGTTGTTGGAGGAAGTGGCAAGGAGGAGAAAGGAGGGTGCCTTCGGAGGCAGTTAGAGTGGAGAGGAAGGGGTGTCCC